TTCTCCCCCTCGTCCCCCCTCATGCTCCTACTCCATGCCCCCTCCCTCTGCTGGAATGTGACCCTCTCTGATGATGTCACTTTGTTTCTCTGCTCTTCCAGTCCCGTCCCTCAACAGGGACAGAGTAGAAACATCCATCCATCTTCCCTTCACGATAACAACATTAGGGTCAGTCGTCTAACTAAATCGGTTACCACAGTGCTGCAGCGCTCTTTCCCCTTGTTGTTTAATATAACTGCCCTGCAGGCTAAATTGCTGTGGACCACAAATAATGACTGAGCCATCTCAAAGCTGTAATGATCATAAATGATTTTGAAGTGAAGTCATTAAAGCAATGCTGTGCATATGCATAGTTTTGTCAAAGGTTGCAGCTGCCAACTTAATACTGTAACCTTGAGGCAAAGCCTATTTTAACTCATTGTATCCATGTTGGTAGATGGCAGATTTAACTTAATGTATGTTTGTTTGAGCTACAATTGTTTATAATTAATAGTTAACTTCTGATGGTTTCTTAATGTTTCTTCTCAAAGAATCAGATGGAATACCTTATGGTTGTAGTTTAGTTCCTCAAAAAAGTCCCACGCCAATTTATTTCGTACAGTTATCAACCTAAATGCTTCTGTTATATTATTGAAGGTATATACATGTGATTGAAATAAATTTGTTAAACTCAAAACCCTAATTACTTTGTAATCCTACATTTTAACAATAATATAATAGTAATATTATGTTTTTAAAGGAAGATACCATAGCCTCTGTGATCCTGATTTAATTGAGATGAAAAGGTGATCTTGGGGGAATTTCTTGAAGTTGTGCTTTTTGCACGTTTTTTTGCTTTTGTCAATGGACCATAGATGCTTTATCATTAATCAAAGACTAAAAGGTGAATTTATTGCTCATATTAGAAGACAAACAATGCCATTATTGGAGACAGGATATCAACATGAAATTTAATGATCATGATGAACATTTCTACGACAAATCCATGTTGATATTAGACTTTATAATAACAAGATCTTGAT